TTGCGCGAAAAGGGAAGCATGTAGCTACCTTTTTTATTTACTGGAATTTTGGGCGGAGAAAGCGTGATGGAGAAAGTACCTTCCAACAGCGACGAGCTCCGGTTTGTTGCTTTCGTACTACAGGAAGGGAAAGTCGGGAGAGCAAAGCCGAAGGCAACCGTAGGATCCACACCGACCGAGCTTCTCACGGCGACGATCATCCTCTCGTTGGATTTTGTTGGATGGCGTCGGAGGGCAACGCCGGCGGAGGAGGGAGTCACGCTTGCTGGAGATCGGGCAAGGTAAGGATTCTTTCCTCTCTCTCTCACTCCTCTCTCTCTCTCTCTTAAATATTTAATTAAAAATGTCGAATATGGCTCGACTCATATTTTTTCGTATCATTGATCTTTGTACACGTCGTAGATAACACCTCTACACAATATTTTTAATTATACCGGGGGCAATTGCCTAAAGACCAGAGTATTTTAGAACTTTTGGTGGAAATAAAAATTTATATGGATGAAAATAAATTCCTAAAGAATCATATAATAAGTTGGATCGGCACCTCTTATGTATGTATGTAAATTCTCTTAAAATTAATGTAATATTTAAATATAATAATAATTTTTACATAAATTTAACGTTTCAAAAGTTTTTTGAAAAGAAAGAAGGAGACGACTTTAGTAGTAGACCGACTCCGCCCGTCCAACGAACAAACCAAAAATTAAAAAAAAAAAAACCCTAAGACACGGCCGTTCTGATTTTCCCAAGTCGCTTTGTTTACTTCCTTTGAAATCTCTTCCGTTTGCCCAATTTTTCTGTTCTGGGTGATCGATCGAGTGATCAATCGAACTGTTTGTGGATACTTGGAAGTGATCGAACGGCTGGGTGATGGCGCTATTTAGCCTATGGGGGACGTGGGAGGAGCTCATCCTCGGTGGCGCAGTTCTCCTGCACGGTACAGCCGACTGGAACGCCATCGCCACCGAGCTCCAGAACCGCACTGATTTCCCAGATCTCTTCACACCGCAGGTCTCCTAATTCATTTTCCCTCTCTAATCGAACTTTCAAATTTTGAAACCCCTATCGTTTTTGAAATTGAATTGTGAAATCTCATTATCTTTTTGTTCGGATTTAATTAGATTAGTTCATAGTTCATACGTTTGTTAATTGAGGGATAGGAGATAGAAACCTAACTGGAAAAGTATGGAATCAAAATCAGGTGAGAATATTCTAACTAAAATTTCATTAGTTTGAAGTTTTTTTTTTTATTTTTTTAGGTGTGTTTGATATAAATTTGAATTAATTGTTCATTATTACATCCATCTCCAATCAAAATTTCACGGCTTTTAGGCACAATATTTCCAGGAAAAAATTATTTTGACCAGTTCAAAATAATTTCATTAAAAAAAACGGTAATATTTGACCAATTATGAGGCATATACATTAAATTTATTTTCAGTTTTAAATTTTGAGAGAGCGAGAAATAGAAAGAGAGAGAATGTGTGTGACAATGACATAATAGCCATTTTTTAACTGGTCGGTTTGAAGATGCCCAAAGACTGAAACTTTGAATCAAATAAATTTGAAATATTAGCTGTTAAAAATAGACCTAAGCCACTCTCCATTCATATTCGTTTGAGTTAGTTTCTCCATTTTTTTATTTACTTCTTCGCATTATGATGTCATGCATGATCCAATCTGCAGATGAGGAAAATTTATTCTGAGCGGACCCGGGTGGCGTCTGGAGACCAATTAGAATGTGCGACGTCACTTTTTTGCTCGTTAATGGTGTTCGGTACCGCTCGGTATCGGTGACGTCGTGTGTTCTGATTGGTCTCCTGACCATCCAGTGTCCGCACAGACTAATTTCTCGCAGATAAAGCAATTTTTTAGTTTTTTCTTTGAAAGAAATAAATTTGTACTAAAAAATATTTTTAAAAGAAGTAAAAAAGTTGTCTCAAACGAAACCTAAGATTATCATAGTACTACACTGCAATTATATAGTCCTGAGTTATCAAATTTTTTTAGATTAATTTATTTGATATTAAGACTGATGTAATTAACTTAAAAGATTTTAAACACAATACCAAATACAAGATTATGGGACTATTTATTTATTTTGGGATTTTTTTTAGCAGACGGATAATTCTTAAAAATATGCAATCTTTGTATTTATTTAGTTGAAGCAACCTCGATGATAAGACTCCATGCGCTTGGCAAGGTGACTGGTATAACTTCCATGCTGCTTTGCTTCTACAGGTATGCGAGGCCAAGTACGAGGACTTGCAAGAGCGCTACTCTGGATGCGAGTGAGTGTTAAAAATTATAATTATATATTACTATATTAATATATTTCGATAATAGGAAAATATGATAAATTTAATGCTTTTTGTAAGGAATAAGCATAATAAATTATGAGGAGATGCTAAGAATGACTATCAAAGAAGGATTCATAAGCCTAACCTAATTTTTTGGGATATGGCTAATGATGAAAATAATTACGATGATGATGCTGGTAGTTATAGTGTGTTAGGCTTCATTTGGGACGACTATTTTACTATTTTGTAAAGGGATAAGCATAATAAATTATGCGGAGATGCTAAGAATGACTATCAAAGAAGGATTCATAAGCCTAACCTAATTTTTTGGGATATGGCTAATGATGAAAATAATTACGATGATGATGCTGGTAGTTATAGTGTGTTAGGCTTCATTTGGGACGACTATTTTACTATTTTGTAAAGTAGTTTTTTAGGAAAAAAAAAATTTTTTGAAGTAAGAAATTTTTTACTTAAAAGTTGCTTTAAAAGGCTGAGAAAGCTGTCACAAGCAAAGTCTTAGGGTTCATTTGGGACAACTTTTTTACTACTTAAAGCAGTTTTCTAATTCAAAATTTTTAATTTTTGAAAATATTTGAACTAGAAAGCTGCTTTAAGAAGCAGTAAAAATCCCAAACGAAGTCTTAGTCTTTGTTTGGGACGACTTTCTTACTGTTTTTTAAAGTAACTTTTTAGTATAAAATTTCTTATACTAAAAAACTGCTTCAGAAAGCAGTAGGAAAATTGTCTCAAACGAAACCTTAATTAGTTCTAATGAGTAGAACACGCTAATCACTGACAATTGCTTGCCTTTGCATTTGAAAAGAAATTTTGGTGTGTTGAATCACAATTTAATAGGCTTTAAACATCTCAAAATTTTTCTTGGATGCAGCTCCACTAATTATTTTCATTAACCAACTGAAAGAGAAGTTGATTATTGTCTATAAATTAGAATGATGCACCTACTTTCATCTTGGTTGTCTTGATACACTTCTTCCAAAGTCAGTGCAAAGTTTGTCTGCATGATAGCTAAGGAAACAAATAGCTTTCTCAATTAATTTATCTTAAATTGCCATTGCACGAATTATTGCAAATGGGGCTTTTTGATCTGTTATAATATAGGTGAAAACTAAAATGAATGCAGGTAGAATTATTTTTTGAATGTTTGGATTGATGTAAAGTAATTGTTTTTACAACTGCTTAATTAGAAGCATTGAATTTGCAGTACATTTGAATTAGGCTTTCTTTGGCACGGTTTTTTGTTGCTTCTTAAAACAATTTTTTAGTACGAAAATTAAAATTTGTGTACTAAAAATTTGCTTTAAAAAGTAATAAATCGTTCCAAACGAAACCTTAATCTACATCTATTTTACTTGAACCGAACAAACCCAAATTTATTGAACTCTTATCGCTGCATTTTTAGAGTTTTCTACCTTTTTATAGTGCCTGGTTTGAAGAGCTCCGAAGCCAGAGAGTTGCTGAATTAAAAAAAGAACTGGAAAAATCTGTGGACTCTATTGGGTAGGTATTAAATGTTAATTAATTAAAACTCTATCTAATGTCTTCATTGAGGTTTCTACTTTAAAACAATCTTTTTTAGCTTTTCATTTTCTTTTCCTCTTTCTAAGCTGTGATATTTTCCTCATGTACGTATATTTCTCTTTTCAAAGAAGCTTGATGTTATATAATTTAGTCTCGAGTAAACTTTTATCCTTTTCTTCTTAGAACCCTGCAATCCAAGCTTGAAAGCCTCACTGCTGAGAAAGAAAGTGATTGCAACAATTTGGATTACTTTACCAGCCGCTCCCAATCGATATCACCTGCTGATGTTGCTAATGGTGCTGATTATTTCTGCAAAGAAGCTTCCATAGATGGATTATCTGCTGGTAGTTTCACAAGAAACACAGAGAGAGATTGGGCGCCAGAAATTGAGATTGCCGCCTCCTGTTCCTTGCAAGATGACGACTACAGGATCGAAATGGCTAGCAATCTGTGCGCAGATTTCGGCTCTGGAAATTTTAGAAGGAAAAGGGACCCGAGGAAGAGGAAGCCATGTAACAGTTTCAAGGAGGCTAGTGTAGGTGAAAGTGAAACAAGAAGAGAGGACTCTTCTGAAGGTTGCATGCCATCTAGTGAGAAGTTCTGTGCGGTGCAACAAGAGGAGCCTGTTGTGGATCTGGCTGGAATTGTGGATTCAATTTCAAAGCACAAGGATGTTTCAATTCTCCGATATAAAATTGAGAAACAGGTATTTTTGTTGATAGTTCTCTTTGATTATCTTTTGTTTTATGGTTCTATTGTCACCAATTGCTGAGTTCAGCATCTTAGCCTTTATGAATTTTACATGCTCATTGTCATCTAGTTAGATGACAAGTTGTGAATTTGTATTTAAATACATTTAAAAAGCTAATTATCACATCATGAGATCAATTCTTTTAAATTTGAAAGTGATAATGATAGGAAATACTTGAATTCGCAAGTAACCCTAAGGGAAATACTTGAGTTCGCAAGCAAACCTAACAGTGATCGGTGAAAAAACAGCAAGCAAACTGTTGATTTTAGAGAGAGATCAACACTACGATGCAGAATTTTTAGGAAATTGAAGAGAAAAACACAAACAACTCTCCAAATCTCTAGCCAAGCCTAGAGCCCAAATGAACAAACTCTAAATCTCAAATTTGATTTCAAACTCAAGATGAAATCCTAATTCTAGCATTAGCAACTAATTAAAGCCAAAGTAAAAATACAAAATCCCTAAACAGCCCCTCATTCAAATATTTCCCTCAAAATCAATTATTATTAATCAATGTGTAGGTCCCATAAGAGCAGCTGGCCCCTTCTCCCTTCCTTGGGCCGGCGGTTGTTGTATAAAACCGGTCCACTAGGGACCGGTTCAATAAGGATAGTCGGACCCTCTTGGATCGGACTAACAAACACAATATTATTTAAACAAATTAACTCAAAATAAATATTCAAAATCACTTAACAAATGAATCAAATATGTGCCTCAATAAATATTCGGGAGCTTTTTTTTTTTCTTTTATGACAGCTCTACTTCCGAGCACTGTATTTTGGGCCAGAATAACGAGAGATTATTACGTGCCACGTCCGAACTGTTTGGAGGAGAATCCGGTCGCGCCATACCACCCGGATGCACTGGGCCCGGCGCATTCGGATTCCACTCCGGATGAATACGAACGCCGCACGTAATATTTTTTCCGGAATAACAGCTAAAGAATCAGAAAATATGCTACCTTCTCGTTTCTTACCGTCTCTCTCTCTCTCTTTCTTCCCGGAAATCAGAAAAACTCCAAGTATAAGAAGCTCATACGCCGACACGTGGATCTGGAAACCATAAGTTCAGGGATTAGCAACGGTTCTATCTCTTCTGCTAAGGAACTCTTCAGAGACTTGCTTCTACTATGCAACAACGCCCTCGTCTTTCACAAGAGGAATTCTCCTAAACACAAATCCGCCCACTCTCTCAGAAATATCGTCATGAAAAATCTGCGCCACACCTTTCATTCTCCTATTAGCAAGCCTTGTGAAGTTGATAATAAGCTTCAGAATGGGATGGCTTATAAGACTTTCATTGGTAGGCAGGCTTTGGTTGCTGGTAAAGGAGCTGAAAGTCCGGCTAGGAAGAGAGGCGGTGGGAGGCCGCCGAAGGGGAGTAGGAGAGGCGGTGGAGGGTCGCCGGTGGAGAGCAGCAGTTCGACCAAGGGGAGGAAGAAAGTTTGCAGGTAAATTGAGAGTTTATTCTGCTAAAGGTAGCTGGTTTTATAGGTTTTTTGGTCATGTATTTCTGGCCATCTCTTGTACAGTCTGTTTGATAAGAAAGGACATCACGATTGTAGTTCTATACAGGTTTAATGGAATCAAACAAAAACGTAGCTCATCTCTCAACTTGATCTGTTTGTGGTGGTTGTGAAATTTAGCTATTAATTAAGAAATTTTAGATTCAAATTATATCATTATGATATATGTGTGAATTTATTTTAATTGGTCGAAATATTTTTTTTTTAAATAAAATAAAATTCTAGAATGTACATGAATTTTGTTGGATTTATTAATGGGTGAATTACATTTATATCACTGAAATGTTAGCTATTTTACAAAATTAACATTCATGCTATTTTTTTTAAATGACTAATTACTACTACAACAACAACAACATTAAGACTTTGTCCCACTAAGTGGGGTCGGCTACATGAATCCTTTTTCTCTATTGTGTCTGGTTAAAAGTCAATTTCTCATTTAAATCTAATAAAGAAAGATCATTTCTAATATTTTCTAACCAAATCTTTTTAGGTCTATCTCTATCTTTCTTAACATAAGTCAAATCTTATACTTCAATTTTCCTAACAGGGTCATCGGAAGGCCTCCGTTTAATGTAACCAAACCATCTAAGACTCTCTCTAATCTTATCTTCCACTGGAGCTACTCCAACCTTTTCACGTATATGCTCATTTTGTATCCTATCTCTAAGGGTCAAGCCACTCATCCACCAAAGCATCCTCATCTCTGTAACACTTAGTATTATTCTTCTCTTTTAATGGCCAACATTCTGCACCATAAAGCATTGCAAGTCTCACAACCATCTTATAGAATTTACCCTTAAGTTTGAGGGGGACTTTTCTATCGCACAATAAGCCTGATGCATTCCTCCACTTCAACCATCCAACTTGAATTCTGCTGATAATATCCCCATCAATTTCACCATCACTCTGAACAATAGATCCAAGATATCTAAAACGTGTACTCTTATTAATGACTTGATCGCCCAAAATCACAATCCCCTCACTTGGTCTATTGCTACTAAAACTACACTCCATATATTCAATTTTAGGTCTACTCAAGCGAAAACCTTTTTAAAGTTGACCTCCATAATTCAAGTTTACCTTCAACTCCCTCTCTAGTTTTATCAACAAGAAGAATATCATCAGCAAAAAGCATACACCAAGGTACATCCTCTTGCAAATGTCTAGTGAGAACATCCATGACCAAAGCAAAAAGATCTGGACTTAAGGCTGATCCTTGATGTAATCCAACCGAAATAGAAAAATACTTGGTCAAACCACCTTGTGTTTGAACACAAGTAATAGCTCATGCATACATCTCGTTAATGATTTCAATATAAGTATTATTAACTCCTTTCTTTTCAAGAACTCTCCATAACATTTCTCTTGGAACTTTATCATATGCTTTCTCTAAATCAATAAATATCATATGCAGGTCCTCCTTATTCTCTCTATATTTCTCCATCAAACATCTCAATAAATGTATGAATTCCACAGTAGACCTATCCGGCATGAATCCAAATTGATTTTGAGAAATATTAGTATCATGCCGGAACCTACGCTCCATAACTCGCTCCCATAGTTTTAAAGTATGACACATTAACTTAATTTCTTTATAATTCGCACACTCTTGTGCATAACCTTTATTCTTAAAAATAAGAATTAACACACTCATTCTTCACTGATATGACATCTTTTTAGTCTTCAAAACAATATTAAAAGTTTAGTAAGCCAAGAAATTCCTTCATCTCCTAAGCATTTTCATATCTCTATTGAAATATCATTAGGTCCAACAACTTTTTCACACTTCATTTTCTTTAAAGTTTCTCTAACTTTGGTTTGACTTATACGCTGTTAAAACAAAAATCTTTATTTTCATTTAGGGTGATAAAGCCACTAAAGTCAATCGTAATTAATGGAAATGATAATATGGGATTTTATTGTAAATTTTTGAGATTTATATAAAAATTAAAAATTGGAGATAGAAGGATATTAATTATGTAAATAACTAATATTTATATATAATTACCCCTTCATTATTTGGTTGGATGTATATTGGCATGCAAATTAATTTTTGACTTAAAAAAACCCTCTATTTTTTTTTTTTTCAAAATATACTCACTTTTTATTTTTTATTTTTATTTTTGAAGATATACTCTCTTATTAGGGGTGTAAAAATGGGTTTGACAGGTCGGGTTTAAGTCTGACTTAAAATTGATTCGATTCGAATCTAGTCAATTCGATCTTGACCCGTTTTAAAAGATTAAATTAGATCCGACTTGCTAGCAACCTGAATGACACAAACCCTACCCGCTAACTCATTTTGGTTACTTTTTTTTTATAACTTATTAAGTATAAAGTTTAGAACATTTGATAAATAAATAAGAAGATTATACTCACAAGAAAAATAATTTAATAAAAAAAAATTAAACGGATCATTTTCGAGTCAAAAGAATATTCGCGGGTCAACCCTTACTCGACCCGTTTAATAAACAATCAGAGAAAACAACCTGAACCCAATCCATTTATTAAACACGTCAACGCAGGTCGGATCATTTATTAACCTCTAATTTGAATTAACCCACCACTGATGTATCAAATGACTTGACCGCATCCTCACTAAGCTAGATGATGATTGATTTGATTGGAGTAATCATTGAGGTGTGAAATTATCACGTGCGATCACTGGATGTCGTCCAAAGGCCAATCAGGACGTGCCACCTCACTTATTTACTGTGTACCGTTATTATATACCACTATGTATCAGATGATGTAGCACGTCTTGAATGACTTTTGAATGATCTAGTGAATGCACCTAATAATTTATCCATGGAAGAGGCATGACATGCTCGTGTTAATTCCACGATCATCTCGTGTTCACTTTCTGCTTTGTGCCGCTAAATACAGAGCAAATTCGTGTAAGCATAGTGAGGCAAATGACAAATTGGCTTAGAATATTCATGATTCACTTGATTGTGCTGTGCATTCCCTAAACATTAAGCTACGTGCATCCTATTTGTTAACACGGTAACAAAATATTTGAGCTGTATTCGATCCTAAATGCAACAGATGAGCCCAAATGAGACTTATTATTAGCTAAAATAAAGAACTAGAGCTTCTTTTAATGACTTTTCGTCTTCCATTCCAAAGAAGCTTTGACTTCGTTTGGAACATCATTCTTCCTGCTTCTTAAAGTGACTTTTTAGACTTCTAGTATATAACTTTTGTACTAAAAAAACATCTTTAAGAAACAACAATAAATCCGTCTCAAATGAAGCCTTTGTCTCATATTCTCAATTTACTCATCACGTCAATCTCTAACAATTATTGTTAACCTTCACAATAATTATTTACTCTTAGTGTTCTCATTTAACTCTAACCAGCTTCTGAAATGCTGCTAAGGTCTATTGCTACTAAAATTATACTTCATATATTCAGTTTTAGATCTACTCAAGCGAAAACCTTTAGACTCTAAAGTTGACCTCCATAATTCAAGTTTACCTTCAACTCCTCTCTAGTCTTATCAACAAGAAGAATGTCATCAGCAAAAAGCATACACCAAGGTACATCCTCTTGCAAATGTCTAGTGAGAACATCCATGACTAAAGCAAAAAGATATGGACTTAAGACTGATCCTTGATGTAATCCAACCAAAATAGGAAAATACTTGGTCAAACCACCTTGTGTTTGAACACAAGTAATGGCTCATGCATACATATCTTTAATGATTCGAATATAAGTATTATTAACTCCTTTCTTTTCAAGAACTCTCCATAGCACTTCTCTTGGAACTTTATCATATGCTTTCTCTAAATCAATAAATATCATATGTAGATCCTCCTTATTCTCTCTATATTTCTCCATCAAACCTCTCAATAAATGTATGACTTCCATAGTAGACCTTTTGAGAAACATTAGTATCATGCCGCAACTTACGCTCCATAACTCGCTCCCATAGTTTTAAAGTATGACACATTAACTTAATTCCTCTATAATTCACACACTCTTGTGTGCATTACCTTTATTCTTAAAAATAAGAATTAGCAAACTCATTCTCCACTGATCTAGCATCTTTTTAGTTTTCAAAACAATATTAAAAAGTTTAGTAAGCTAAGAAATTTCTTCATCTCCTAAGCATTTACATATTTCTATTAAAATATCATCATGTCCAACAGCTTTTCCACACTTCATTTTCTTTAAATTCTCTCTAACTTCGGTTTAACTTATACACAGATAAAAACAAAAATCTTTATTTTCATTTAGGGTGATAAAGTCACTAAAATCAATCGTAATTAATGGAAATGATAATATGGGATTTTATTATAAATTTTGAGATTTATATCAAAATTAAAAATTGGAGATAGAACATAGAAGGATATTAATTATGTAAATAACTAATATTTATTTATAATTACCCCTTCATTATTTGGTTGGATGTATATTGGCATGCAAATTAATTTTTGACTAAACAAATCCTTCTATTTTTTTTTTCAAAATATACTCTATTTTTTATTTTTTATTTTTATTTTTGTAGATGTACTCTCTTAATATGAGTGAAATGGTCGGATTATGGGTGTAAAAATGGGTTTGACAGGTCGGGTTTAAGTCTGACTTGAAATTGATTCGATTCGAATCTAGTCAATTCGATCTTGACCCGTTTTAAAAGATTAAATAAAATCCGACTTGCTAGCAACTTGAATGACACAAACCCTACCTGCTAACTCATTTTGGTTACATTTTTTTTATAACTTATTAAGTATAAAGTTTAGAACATTTGATAAAAAATAATAAGATTATACCCACAAGAAAAATAATTTAAGAAAAAAATATTAAACGGAACATTTTCGAGTCAAAAGCATATTCGCAGGTCAACCCTTACTCGTCCCGTTTAATAAACAATCAGAGAAAATAACCTGAACCCAATCCATTTATTAAACGCATCAACGCGGGTCGGATCATTTATTAGCCCCTAATTTGGATTAACCCACCACTGATGTATCAAATGACTTGACCTCATCCTCATTTTGATTGGAGTAATCATTGAGGTGTGAAATTATCACGTGCGATCATTGGATGTCGTCCAAATGCCAATCAGGACGTGCCACC